TGATTCTCAAAATTGGTGAGCACATAAAAGACCAGTAGGAATAAAGTAGGAAATGTTTGGCAGATAGAAAGTCAAGAGTAGTCTGGGTTTCAGTCATCCACTGACAAATACTGTATCCAAGGTTGCCATGTCTTATCAAATTTTATTTGGTTATTATGGAGGGTGCAGGCCATCTTGTCATTAACCATGGTCCAATTAAATTTTAATTTGACCTAGTCCAAAGTCACTGTCGACTGGCTCCAACAATGCGCAATAGCTATCCTAGCGGACAATATTATAAAAGTAAATGATAAAAGTAATTAAATATTAGGAATATTTGGAAAGACCTTTATCCAGTTTCTAAAAGAGAGTGATCTCTGGGATTGGAAACATTTATTTAAAGTACAACTCTACCCAAGACACATTGCTTGTGGGGCAAAAATCAATTTCTTCAATTAAAAAGAGCTAGAAACATTTTTTTCTGTAGAATGGTGGTTTATAAAATCGGTCTTTTTGTTGTGAGTCTTTTATCTGAGTAGTTGTGTTAATACCTGTTCCCCTCATTTCTTGTTCTAATCTCACAAGTAAATAAATAAATGAAAGGAAGTCTACCTGGCTGAGATGTAAAGACTGCAACAAAAACCTGACAGATGTTCTAACTCTCTCTTCCCCACACAATCTAAAAACAGGTCTCTAAAGAACACTTCTATTGCAACTGATATTCAATAAAGTAAGTAAGCCACACTTGACGGCATAAAAGGGACTATGACCACATACAATTACATTGTGAGGAACTCTGCAAATAAATGAAAAGGTTCACATATTAAAAAAAATTGCCTTTTGATGTTAGAAAAAATTAACATAATTTGAACATATTACTTTAGAACACCAGGCTATCCAAATGAGACATGAGAATCTTCAAAAAAAAAATGCTCGAATGAGAAGCTCAATTTAGATTGAATAACACCACCTCTAAACAGATTTACTATGCTAATGCTTTGATGTACTGGATTAATGTACAAGACTATAGTTTTCTAATGGCAGCTTAACCATATAATCAATGTACATTAATATGTTATCAATATTCTGAACATATAAGACAGAATTAATTGTCAAACTAATCAGATATTACAGATCACCATGTTAAAAGACAATTCATCGAGGATTTTGTCTAAAAAAGAAGTCTTTACATTGCAGTGTGTTTTATTTTTTGATGACATTTTATTTCTATGGTATGTTAGGAAGTGATAGTTAACCACTTGCCCTCCTGAGGATTTACGCCCCTTCCTGATCAGGCCATTTTTTGTGTTACGCCGCTGCATTACTTTAACTGGCAATTGTGCGGTCATGCAACGCTGCACCCAAATGAAATTTACATCCTTTTTTTCCGCACAAATTGAGCTTTCTTTCAGTGGTATTTGATCGCCTGTACATTTTTTATTTTTTTGTGCTATAAAAAAAAGACCAACAATTGTGAGAGAAAAAAAACTATATTTTTGACGTTTTGCTATTAAACAGTAAAATTTTTTTTAAAAAATCAAATTTTGTCATAAATTTAGGCCAAAATGTATCCTGCTACATGTCTTTGCTAAAAAAAAAAAGTCTCAATACGAGTAAATTAATTGAAATGCAAAAACCGCTGCACTTTTTGCATTTCATTATTTTGAGGATATAGCGGGTTGTCCTTTTGTGCTAGCTGCTGTTTTTTCCCGTGCGCTCACTATCACCTTCATTTTTTCCTATGTGTAAATTAATTGGTTTACGTGGTTTAAAGTTATAGCATTTACAAATGGCAGTATAAGTACTGGGATTTATTTTTTTTTAATAGTAATGGTGGCGATCAGCGACTTATAGCGGGACTGCTGAGACATTCTGACACTGGGAGGAACTGACTTGGTGTCACTGGCATCCCCAGTGACACCAATACAGTAATCAGTGCTAAAAAAAAAAAAGCACTGACACTGTACTAATGGCACTGGGCAGGAAGGGGTTAACATGAAGGGCGATGAAAGGGTTAACTGTGAGCTGGGAGTGTTTTACTAGGTTATGCCATGCACAGCCATCCAAAGCAGTGTGTCCGAGCGGACAGGGAGAACTGTTAGTAAACAAAACAGTTCTCCTCCCCATCGGAAATCCTCGGAAATCATCAAGTGTCAGCTAGTAATCACTGGCCAGGACCCGGTGATTGACAGCCGTGGCCATGAATGGTGGTGCGGGTAGGGCGCGCGCCCCCTACTGGAAATGCAAAATCACATCTATACGTGATTTTGCGCACCCGTGCTGCCCTGTAGCAGTATGTCTGCTATGGGCAGTTGGGAAGCAGTTAATAAACTAATCTTTTTATTCTGGGGGAGGAGAGGACTCTTACCCCGTGATATACTTATCCAAGGAGAGGCCAAACAAGCATTCAACTTTGCTAGGTAGCTGTTTCAGGTGTTTCTTATAAGGGAGTTCCACTGACCAGCAATTAAGCCAAATGATCCTGCACATGTGAATAGAGAAAATACTCATCTTGGAAAGTATATCCTCCAAACAGTTCACACAATAGCATAAGTCCACAGGTAAGAGGTCTAACTGAATATGGTCTGAAGCATACGAAAAGATGGAATTCAGTTCTCGGGCTAGTGCTTAGTCCAGCCATGAATTGTCTGGTAGACTGCAATATAAATAACTGCAATTTGCATGATGGAGAATGCTAAGGAAAAAGAGGCCTTTAACCTCTTATACAGAATTATCCTCTAAAGAGGCTGTGAGCATCTTGCAGAGACAACAGATGGCAAAGTCAACTACAGTGACTGTCCAAATTTTAGGAAACTTTTCTCCATAGGATATTACTATGCAAAGTGTTTTTGAGGATTACAAATCTTCTCTGGGTGAGGCCTCGGTGAGAGAGTGGACTGGGAAAGACTTAGCAAACACCTGTTACCTCTGGTATCAAGTGCTTTATAAAGCCTGAGTGTCTATAGCAAAGTAAGTAATTAGACTAGGGGTAATTGTCCAGACAGTACTAGGGCCCTGTGGACATAAGCTACCACCTACCCTGGAAATGGGGGTGGAGTATGAGCTTGCAAGCCAAACCGTCCTATTGTTTCCCTTGTGCTTTGGATGTGCAATGCAAAATGCCCCTAGAAGGGCACTTATGATCTCCTCTGCTTGGAGAGGGAGATGAAGGCCTCTAGTGCTAAGCATTATAAACTTCTTTTTACCCAGGTAGTACAGCTGACTGTTATATCAAGCCAGATATGATGGACCAGGAGATGCTGCCAAGCTGAACAGGAAAAGGAAGAAGGCAACGCGCACACAGGCTCACTAAGTGATCTTAGCGTGGGGCAGGGATCTACCCTTACGACTGATCAGGGGCAGAGGAAGCACCATAAGTCTGCACAGGTACAGCAGTGCCATCGACCTGCTCTGAAGAGAAAAAAAAAAGGTGCCAAATTAACATTTTTGCCAGCACTTCTACTGCTTCAAGAGCAGCAAACCTCCTTCAAGCAAGGGCACAGAGCTAAGTACCCAGAGCAGAAAATGATTAAAATCTTTCCACCAGTAAATGTATTATACGTGGGCAGGAATAAAAGGGGATCTGACCCCATCCTGGCTTTGCAGTCCATGGTGTGCATGTCCCCAAAGGGGTTTTCAAGAATCAGGGCAGTGCCACTGGCAGACCACAGCCCTGGACATTTTTAGCACTCTGCCTCTAACGCAATACATGCCAAGGTGAGAACACAAGCAGGATCTAGTGCCATCAGAAACATTACAGGCCAGTCCTGTGTCTGCAATCCAGCAGGTCAGGGTATGGTCCCTCAAGGCAAAGCCAAGGAGTCAAGCGATCCAGAATATGCAGTGGGAGCTGCAGTGGCTATAGTGCAGCCAGGAATCTTGACTGTAGAGAGAAAAGTGGTCCATCACCCAAGGACACTAGCAAGGAAAATTGAGGCTAGCTGGGAATGAGAGGGGTTAAATAGGGGATATCTCAGCAGCTTTTTTTTTTTTTTTTCACCAGAGTACCATCAACAAAAACATAACTATGTAATCCATGGTAATGATTAAAGATTCTGTGTTCCATACTGTATGACTAGGAAATGACCTTTCACAGCAGCCACATGGCTCCCCCACCCTCAATCATGGCTATTGTGGGACTGGAGCAGTTTTTAGTTAATATTTTGCAGATATGCAAGGAGAGTCTGATGATTCACAGGTTTAGATCTCCCATTCACAAAATGTGTTACAGGCATTGAAAGCAATGTGAGAATGTTTCCCAATGGAGGAGAGGGGCAGAGAGAAGAGGAGGGCAAGGAAAGGAGGGGAATGGCCCCCACAGAAGCTTCACAGAAGACTTGCAGTGATTAATCCCCACAACGCCAGAAGATCAAAGAAAGGAAGAGGACAGGGCATCCCTGCACAGAAGATTTCTACAGGATCCAGCAGCCTGCATGACAAGGGCATACTTCATTAAGTTAGCTCATTAAAGCTATAGAGAAAAAAAAAAAAAAAAAATATATATATATATATATATATATATATATATATTTATTTATTTTTATTTATTTATTTCAGGTACTTATATAGCGCCATCAATTTACGCAGCGCTTTACATATATATATATATATATTGTACATTCACATCAAACCCTAATCCTCAAGGGGTGTACAATCTAAGGTCCCTAACTCACATTCATACATACACATACTATGGACAATTTATACAGGATCCAATTAACCTACCTGCATGTCTTTGGAGTCTGGGAGGAAACCGGAGTACCCGGAGGAAACCCACACAGGCACAGGGAGGACATGCAAACTCCAGGCAGGTGGTGCCGTGGTTGGGATTCGAACCAACGACCCTAGTACTGCCAGGCAGAAGTGCTAACCACTAAGCCACATACATACATACATACATACACACAGCATATATACACAAACACACACTATACTACCGAACGTATTGGGACGCCCCTCCAAATCATTGGATTTAGATGTTCCAATCACCTTCATGACCACAGGTGTATAGAATCAAGCACCTCGGCATGCAGACTGCTTCTACAAACATTTGTGAAAGAAAAAGTCACTGTCAGGAGCTCAGTGAATTCAAGCGTGGTACCGTGATAGGTTGCCACCTGTGCAATAAGTCCATCCGTGAAATTTCCTTGCTACTAAATATTCCACAGTCAACTGTTAGTGGTAGTATAACAAAGTGGAAGCAACTGGGGACAACAAAACTCAGTCACGAAGTGGTAGGCCATGTAAAATGACAGAGCAGGGTAAGCGCATGCTGAAGCACACAATGTAGAGTCAATAGCTAAAGACCTCCAAAATGTGTGTGGCCGCCACTGGATTCTAGAGCAGTGGAGACGTGTTCTCTGGAGTGGCCAATCACGCTTCTCTTCTGGCAATCCGATGGACGTATCTGGGTTTGGTGGTTGCCAGGAAAATGGTACTTGCCTGACTGCGTTCTGAAGTGTAAAGTTTGGTAGAGGGGGGATTATGGTGTGGGGTTGCTTTTAAGCGGTTGGGCTTGGCCCCTTAGATCCAGTGAGGGGAACTCTTAAGGCGTTAGCATACCAAAACATTTTAGACAATTTCATGCTCAGTTTGGGGATGGCCCCTTCCTGTTTCAACATGACTGCACACCAGTGCACAAAGCAAGATCCATAAAGACATGGATGAGCGAGTTTGGGATGGAGGAACTTGACTGGCCTGACCTCAACCCAACAGAACACCTTTGGAATGAATTAGAGCAAAGACTGAAAGCCAGGTCTTCTCGTCCGACCTCACAAATACGCTTCTGGAAGAATGGTCATACATTCCCATACACACACTCCTAAACCTTGCGGACAGCCTTTCCAGAAGAATTTAAGCTGTTATAGCTGCAAAGGGTGGGCCAACTCAATATTGAACCCTAAGGATTAAGACTGGGATGCCATTAAAGTTCATGTGCGTGTAAAGGCAGGCGTCCCAATACTTTTGGCAATATAGTGTGTGTATGTATATATATATTCTGTGTATATATTATATACACACACTGTAGCTAAACTTTTAGATTTAAGCAAGAGTTACTAAAATACATATCGACATCTAAATGCAATCATATATTCTACAAGGACTTCTGTAACAAAGTCTGTCTATTACAGTTACAAAGGCTTTTTCCCCTTGCCCAGAAATTAAGTTCTTCTAACCTGTAACTGATGCTGTTGAAACTATGTAACCATATTTGTATGTTTTTTTTAAGAATGCATCTATATTGCTTTTGCAGAGCTGTATTTCCAAGGCCTTTGACTTTTGCCAAGACAGACACTTAATCATAAGGGACAATTATCAGCAAATTCTCTCCGACAGGCCCTAAGCCTGCTGAGGTAATGTAGCTGACAAACTTTGATGCACCATGCCCGTGCACATTATGTTCACATTGTGTGTACATCTGTGCACCTTTTATAGCGATGCAGAAAACAGCCAATCATTTATTCCACTCTAATTAGCACACATGTAAATCTTCACCAATCATCCCATAGTGCTTGCCACTGTTATGGCATCCATATCATAAGCTGGCAGGACAAGTGAGCACAAGAAAAAAAGGCAAACATGCTTTGATTTGAACCTGCCGTCACAGCATGGCAGGTCCCCTTTAGTACTGATTTACCAGCTCTACCTTTCAAATCCTATCAATAAACTGAAGAAGAAAAAGGTCATCAGGCAGATAGCTGGTTGGCCAGAATTCTATGACTCTTTACAAGATGTAGAAGCACACCTGAAGCGACACCATCCGTTTATTGCTTACAGCATTCTGCCTGTCACAAGAAAAAGTCAAGCACAGCTTCTGAGCACAAAAGTGGATAGTATGTTAACTTGAGGAAGCAATGTCCACCCCTATTTGAGAAAATCTGTTATTTTTCTGGCGATTGCTGTGCTACTTGTCAACATATTTTTCTTTAAGAGGATATTCCTATTGTGAAATGTCTGCAAATTGTCAAAAAGCAAAGTTTGATTAAAAAGCAAGAAGAGATTCTGAATTTTAAACAAGGTTGATTTGATGACTAGAGTCAAGATCTTTAGCAACTGCTGACAAAGAAAGGAATATAAGTATTGCATTCATGGAAAAAAGATAAAATATGAACAAATTGTAATATGTTCTAAATTTAACATGGTGGGCCCTTGCAATGGCCTGAATGACCTTGGAAACATCACTTAAGTAATGTATGACTCTCCCCCTTTAAAAAAAAAAATTAATTAAGGGACAATTTTGCAACATTTTAAAAGGGAAATATTTGTAAGGCCATATATAGGGATCTATTTTATTTTTGTTTCTGTGCATGGACACTCCTCAGAATTTCATATTTGAGTTGCACGGAATTGAGATGATTAAAAAAAAAAAATTTGGTTCCCATTGTGAAAGAAAAGTCCATTGATATGCCCTAACCCTTTGTGCTATCAGTGAACATAATGTAGTAGATGAGGGCACAGACAAAAAAATATATAAATGGACTGCATATACTTGATTTCCACTACAAGAAGGTGGCTCAGAAGTGTGCACATTTTGTAACATTTCCACATTTTCAATTAATGTATTCCTCTCCTTTATAATAAAACATCAGGCTATTTCAACATAACAAAACATAATATAGGATCGATGAAATAATATACTTAAAGTGCTTATAAAGGCAAAAGGCATTCTCTGCATTAAAACACGTTTCAAAAGTTGCTCCCCCAGTCCCGTCCACACCCCCCTAAAACTTACCTGAACCAATCTCGATCCAGTGCTGCGCACGTCTGCAGCAGCTCTTCTCCCCTCTCTGTGTCACGGGAGACTAAGCAGCAGTGGGATACAATGGCTCCTGCTGTTGTCAGTCAAATCATGTAAGGAGCGAGAGGGGGGTGGGGCAGAGCCACAGAAAGTGCAGCTATAGATGCACACAGCTTGGCCCAGAATCAAGCCCACACAAGTGCCCCCATGGTAAGCTGCTTGCTATGGGGGCACTCAGAAAAGGAGGCGCCAGGATCACCTGCAGGGGACTCCAAAAGTGGACGTTCGGGGCCACTTTCTGCAAAACCATTGCACAGAGTTGGTAAGTATAAGTTTTGTTTAGTTTTTTTGAGAGAAAAAAGGAAGCTTTACAATTACTTTAAATCTATATCTTGATAATTAATTGCAAGCCTACTCAAACATGGTATATTGCTTTGTAGTGCATCACTAGACATACACAAATACATCTTCTAAAATGAACTCAGAATTAAAGTTTCCCTTTTTCTAACATTTAACTGAGGGAAATAAAACAATTACAGACAAAATAAATAATCTAAAATGAATTGGCCCTAACCCTCACATTAGTGAGTTTGTCCAAAATCATTTTCATATGGACTTTTTTTAGTCATTTCATGCTAAACTAACGGCACCCAAAAAGTGGTACCTTCAACACCACATGTGCTGTCCTGTGCTGAAAATACAAGCAGCTGGGCCCATGAACACCATGTCAGAAAGTTCCAGTTTTTTCACCCCAGTCCTTCAATCCACACCCAAAAGTGCTGCAGAGACAGCAGCTGACTGGAAAGCATGCATTACGATTGGATGAAAGGTGGCAAGGGAGTACAGAAATTTTAGCATTCAACGTCACCTTTGGTAACAGTCCATCCACAGCCCTGACCATACAGAGACCTACAATGGATATGTGGTCACATGACTGCGACTAAAACCAGAATAAAAAGGTACATCCAGCTATTAATAACTCTATTATGACACTTATACATGTGTTTAATTTTTAAATGCACAGTACCCTGGCTGCTTGCTGTGAGCAGAGCTTACATATACAGTGCTCAGAATAAATGAGTACACCCCACCAGATTTGTCAGAAAACCTTTACTTTCCTTTCAGAATCAACATTTTCTATGGGGCACTATACTACAAAATACTCCCACAAATGCGGGCCATTGATTGCAAACAAGATTTGTTCATTTACACACATAAAATAGTATTTTTCCTAACAAAATCATTCAAGATCATGTTGCAAAAATGAATACACCCCAATGAAAGTCTTAGGAGCTAAGCTAACTTTTAGACAAAACAAATTCCGAATTCAGCTACAAGTGAGTTTAATTATTTATTAAACAGGTGTCCAGCAGGCAGCGGATTATAAAAAGGCATTACTTAAAGAAAACCCCTTCCCATTTCATGCTGTCAGCAATGGCATCACATGGCACCACATGGAAGAGAAAGAAAATAATTTCTTTAAACAAAAAAGGTGAAGGCTACAAGAAGATCAGCAGAGCTTTACTTATCAGTCAGAATACTGCAGCAAAAGTGATACAAAAATTGAACAAAGCTGGAACTGCAACCATCTCACAAAGACGTCCAGGCTGTCCACAGAAGTTAACACCTCGACAGGAGCGTCTTCTGATGAGAAGGGTTGAAGAAAATCCCCATGTAAGTTCACTGCAGTTAGCTAAAGAAGTAGAAAGCCAAACTGGGGTGATTGTTTACCATAACACAATACGGCGTACACTGCAGAGGAATGGCATGCATGGTGTCATCCACGAAGGAAGACTCTCTTAAAGCCCATGCACAAAAAGCTAGCCTAGAATTTGCCAGGGCCCATGCTGAATAAGAAGACTATGGGGAATCTGTACTCTGTACTCTGGAGTGTTGAGACCAAGATAGATGTTTTTGGAACAGATGGCTTCAAAACTGTATGGCGTCACAAAGGTGAGGAGTACAAAGAAAAATTAATAGTGCCTACAGTGAAACATGGTGGGGGCAGTGTCCTTCTGAGGGGCTGCATGAATGCTGCTGATGTCGAGGAGCTGCATTTAATTGATGGGAACGTGAAATAACATGTACTGCTCTATTGTAACGGACCACCCGACAGCACCTCTATCAGTCCCCTGATAGAGCCTCTCCAGCGTGCGGAGTCTAAGTTCCGGAGCACTTGTTCACCAGGGCCCCTGATGGTGGGGATGGACTTGGAGTGCTCCGGGACCAGGTCGCAGCTACCGGATATCTCTATCAGTGGTAGAGGAGTCTGCCGGAGGCTCCTGCAGGGTGAGAGTCTGATGTGAGGGGACCCGGGGATCCCTGAGGGATGGATGGATGGATGGAGGAATGAGCAAGGGCAGAGTCAAACAAGCCGTGTAAGTAGCCGGGGGGTCGGTGCGGTACAAAACAGTAGACAAAGAATGGTCGGGTCACACGCAGGGTCAATAACAGGAGATCAAATCTAAAGGGGAACATCCAGGAGCAGAGTCAGGCAAGCCAAGGGGTCAGGACAGGAGAAGACAGCTAGGTCAGATAATCCGGATCAAAGTACTCACAACACAGGTAACAGGATATGCAGAAAGACCATTCGGCAACAAGTGTCTGTGCAGGGCTGATTTAAGTAGCCCGCCCTGCACCTGACAGGAGCAGCCTAGGTCCTAATGCCTGCCCAGTACTGTCATAGACAACGGGTGCGCCTGGCTCCTAGTGCCCTGCTGCCTGCA